CTCCCCTCGGTCTGCGCATACGCCATACACATCATCGAACGCCCTACACTCTGCTTTTGGGTTGCTTCGTCGTGAGACGCCAGTTGCTAACCCTGCGCCTTTGTTGCGACCGCTTTTCAGTGTGACCAATGTCGTCTCCGCAAGGTACGTTGAACCCTCGTCTCATCTGATCTCTTCCCATCTCATCTCACGTCGTCGTGTGCCATCCCACCACTTACACGATCCCCTGCCGTCGCATCTCACCTCAATCTACATCTCCATCCCATCACACAACCCCAACCTACCTACCCGTCATCTTTTGCCTCTGTGTAGTCTTGGCCCTGCACGCTTAACGCGTCTTGGCTTTTCTGACTGCCCGCCCCTGTCTGTCTGTCCGTCCGTTGGCCGCTTCACCACCTCCCCACCCACTTATTCACAACCGTCGCCTCTCCGCCGTGAAACCGGCGCCGAGTCCGTAGACAACGAAAGAAAGAAAGAGCCGCTCATTTACTTACCTGTCACCGTCTCTTTTTAATCAGATCCGCTGTGACAAGGACTGGCCGTGTTCCAACTGCCGCACCGCCAAGCGCTCCTGCACGTCTACCGGCGCCGGCCAGCGACCCAAGGAGCCGCGCCAACGCGTCCTCATCTCCTCACAATAGTAGGTCTCGACTCTTCTCCTTTCTACCCTTCTCTTTTTCTTCTTCATTTGCTGCGACCATCTTTCGAGGGAAAGGCAAAGGGGGCGAGTGGCTGCTATATATTGTCCCGCTGAGGCAATTACGCCGTCTCATTCACATGCCTGCTCCTGCTCATATATCCCTCGCTCGTTCCAGCACGACGCCGTGCCACTCCAAGCCTGGCATCTTTTATACGCGCTCACGGACACCTTAGACGCACACCCCCTCCCCCCTCCGTCATAATCGCTCATAAACACCTCACACCGATCCTGCCCAAGCCCCCTTTGCCGTGTCTAACCACTCACCACCACATCACCCTCCCGACATGTCCTTGACCTTGCTCTTGCTCCCCGTCACCGCGCTTCCCTGGGTATTCTGCTCGTACTCGACGGTGTAACCCACGGACATGTTCCGCTGGGCTGCCTCCCGTCGTCAATTCCCTCATGCCATCGCCGGATGCAGCCTTACACCGCAACACTCCCGTCTCCCATGCCCTGCCCTTGCCCTGTCGATTCCTGCGCTCGCGCCGTCGTCGTAGTCGCCGTCGTCGACCATGCCAACGCACGCACGCCCCCCCCCGGCAAGGCAGACGTCGTCTCCTTCTCATGCTGACACCCCCCCGGTGAGCGCAAGATAGACCAGATCGAGTCCCGCCTCGGTAACATCGAGACGCTGCTCAAGGCGCTCGCCTCGCCCGCCGCGCCGTCGTCGGCCCTCGTCGTCGACCATGCCCGCTCCGGCAGCGTCAGCCTCAGCGGCAACACCTTTGTCAACACGCCCGGCACCGGCAGCAGCAGCGCCCCCACCGGCGCGTCCACCAGCGCCGCCGACTATGAGAGCAGCGAGGAGGAGTCTGCGTTTGGCGGCGACAGCGGCCTGACGGCGCACACGGCCTTTGCCTCCGAGTTCCTCGAGCGCGCCGTCAAGCGCACGTCGCTGCGCGAGGTCAACCCCAAGATGGAGGCGGCCCTGGCCAACCTGAGCCAGCTCGTCGAGATGCAGAAGCGCCGCTCCATCAGCCACGGCCCGCGCTTTCCCCTGCAGAAGCCCGTGCCCCCCGGCGGCATCTCCAAGCTGCCGATGCCGCCCATGGCCGCCGTCGTGAACCTCCTCAAGCACGCCAAAGGTAGGGGCTTCCGTTCTTCGGATTGTTGGAAATCGTCCGTACTGACGTCGACATGTAGCCGCGCCGCCGACCCTCTTCACCATCATGTGCTCGCTCGTGGGCCTGTCCGACTTTTCGAGCCTCTGCCGCATGGTGTACTTTGCGACCGAGGACTTTTCCGATGCGACGTTTGTCATTGTCAACGCCATGCTGTACAACCTCTTTATGGAGCAGCACTCGCTCGCGACGGAACCCGTGGCGCGCGACGAGTACCACTCGTACATGCAAATGTGCCGCGCCAACCTCGAGACGAGCCTCGCCAACACGCCGCTGTTTCTGTCGTCCAAGGTGGAGAATGTGCAGGCTCTGCTGCTGGGGGTACGTCTCGCGTGCCGCCGTCCTTGCCGTGATCGCTTTCGCCATCCTTCCTGCCGTGTAAGAGACTCGTTGCTGATCACCGACGCCAGGCCCTCTACGCCGTCGACGTGTCGCGGCCGTCTGTCGCCTGGCACCTGAGCTGCATGGCCGCCCAGCTCTGCCAGACGGCCGGCTACCACCGCTCCGAGACGCTCAAGCAGGACCCGCCGGCGACGGCCAAGCTCAAGCGCATCCTCTTCTGGCACGTCTACACGCTCGACAAGGGCCTCGGCCTGCGGCTTGGCCGCGCGCCCGTCATCCACGAGTGCGACATTGACATTCCGCGCGTCTTTGAGTTTGACGGCTTCGGCCACTTTGAGTCGTCGACGATCCCGACGCTGTGGGTCAAGATTAGCCACCTGCAGAGCCGCATCTACGAGCAACTGTGAGCAGATGATACTGACTGAGGATAAGAACCACGGATAGCTGACTCTCCCCGCAGGTACAGCCCCGCCGCGCTGGCGAGCACGCAGGCCGAGCTGGTCGAGCGCGCCCGGGCGCTGGCCAAGGACTGCCGCAAGCTCGAAGTCGAATCCGAAGAGTGCCGCGAACAAGTGTACAACTACCTCCGCGCCGTCAACTCGTCCGACGTCGTCGACCTCTTTTTGCGCGGCGATGAGGTCCAGTTCCAGGTCACGCTGACCCTCGTGTACCGCGTCATCCCCGCGCCCGAAGGGTCCGTGAGCCGCTTTTGCGACGAGTGCCTCGATGTCGCGCGCAAGGCCATGAAGGTGCACCAGCAGTGCACGCAGTCGACCAACCTGGGCAGCTATTTCCGGTCCATTTACGTCCACTGGTGCGTCTGAGGATAAGACGGCTCCCGCGGGACATGTCTTTGCTAATGCTAGCTCCAGGAACCTGCTCTTGACACCCTTTGCGCCCTTCTTTGTCCTCTTTTGCTACATCATCGAGACGTCGTCGCTCGACGACCTCAAGCTGCTCCAAGAGTTTGTCACGTCGCTCGACGAAGCCCGCGACTCGTCCGAGACCATCGAGAAGCTGTACCGCCTGTGCCAGGTCATGTGCGACGTGGCGGCGCTATACGTCGAGGCCAAGTCGCAGCAGCAGGAGGACCAGACCATGGTGCCTATCGGCGACGAGTTTGAAATGTACCTCAGCCAGCTGGGCTTCATGCCGTCCGAGGACCAGGCCATGGCCCAGGCGCAGGATAACGGCGGCGGCCCGCCGGCCGTCAACGGCCAGGTGGCCCAGATTGCCGACTGGTTCTCGGGCAACCGCAACATGATGGGGCTGCTCGAGGAGGATCTGTCGCAGATTGAGTCGTACCGGTGGGGATTGCAGCACCCCAATAACATGTAGTATGTAACGTCGTTGATGCGCCCACGCAGATAGGGAGAATGAGAATACCCCCCGTCATGACACTGTGCGCCGCTCGTCTCTTCGTACAATCGTCTGGTTGTGGTTGCGTCTTGTGTGACGGTGAAGCAAGCCACTTAGTTGGTCGGCCGTCGCGGGTCGTAGCACGTGTAGCCTTCGTTGTCGCTGTCACTGTCGTCCATCAATGCGGCGCGGGCGACGGGCGCCACGACGGGCGGCTCGGGTCGAGCGATGTGAACTTCGGGGGCGGGCTTCTCCTCCTCCTTGGGCGCAAAGGCGCTCTTGAAGCCACCGCGCTTAAAGCCGGGCTTCTTGACGGCCGCGTCCTTGTCCTTGTCGCCGAGCTTGATGCTGACGAGGCCGTCGGCCTTGGCCTCTGCCTTGCGGGCGCGGACGCCGGCGTTGGGGTCGCGCACCATCTGCTTCATCTCCTTGAGGCGCTGCTTGTGGCTGTGGTCGTAGCTGCTAAGGTGGGCATCGTATTCGTTCATGCGCGAGTAGCCCTTGGAGCAGAGGGTGCAGTAAAACGACTTTTGGGCCTCGCGGGCCGCCGTCGTCTGGGGAGGGGGGAGCGTCTGGTGGCGCTGCGCAGCGTTAACAGTGGGTTCTCGCTCACGGGCCGTACGGGATGGTAGCTTACAGGAGGCATCGTGACGGTTATGATGCTGCGTGATGGACGGAGTGCAAGTGCGTGAAGGTTGCGGGAAGCTGGTCGTGGAACTTGGCGGGGGCCGTGACAGCTGTAATAAGGAGCTTGGGATGGTGGAGGGTTGTGAACGTCGTCCTGGAAGCTAAGATACAGTACCTAGGTCTGCCTGGCAAAAACAATGGATGCCTCAGTCCCGACTACGCTGAGGCCAGGTAGGTACGTAGGTGGGTCTTACTGGCGGCTCGGGCTCCCGCTGGCTCCAGTCGGTACCTTACCCGTGGGCCTGCCCAACAAAGGCACCACCCACTGAGACGCTGGGAATTGTGCGCTGACAGCCGCCACCGTAAGCTTCCAAGCTTCCAAGGTTCTGGCCTCGGCACCCGACATCACTGGGGCCGTCTGGCACCAGGCCTCAACAATACCTAACTTAGGTGGTACTGATCCAATGCGCCAGGGGAGCCCCCATCCCCGCCGCCGCAGCCCGACGTCACACCGCATTCGAGACTCCCGCCCAACGCGCCCTCACGTTTGCGACAACCTCACCTCACCTCCTCGCTGCCCGCCCACCACCGTCCGTCCACCACCTCTTCCCTGTCCTCTGCGTGAGCGGACGCACGCCAACGCCACCACAGGATGGACGCGCCAGGGCGGCGCGACGATCGCCGCGACTCGGCGCAGACCTTCGTCTCACTCCTGCAGCTCGACCCGTCGCCCATCGACTCACCGACCGAGTCGACGCCGCCCGCGCCATTGAGCGACGAGGAGCCGCTCGAGGCATGGGAAGGGGCCAGCGCGAGCGCTGACAAGGCCGGGCCGACCGCAGGCGCCCCGGGTCTGAGCGGTAGCGGCGGGCATGGCGCCATCTTTTACCGTCTGTCTCGCCCTCCTCCTCCTCCTCCTCCTTCTCTTCTCCGGGGCTGCCCAGCTCGCCAGGGGGCCAGCCCGTCGAGGGGATGACGAATGCTGACAAGAGAGACGGCCAACACAGTGACACGCATCCAGCGGTACTCGAGCTACGCCATGTCCGTATTCATGTCGCTGCACCTCGCAAACGTATCCCTCATCCCCGCCGTGACGCGCTCCGTCGCCGGCTCCGAGACCTACCTCCTCATGACGCGCGAAATCTACCAGACGAGCATCGCCGAGCCGCTGCTCGTCGCACTGCCGGTGGTGGCGCACGTCGGGTCGGGCGTGGCGCTCCGGCTGCTGCGGCGGTGGCAGAACATGAAGCGGTACGGAGGCGGCACGCCGGGCCTGTACGGGCTGCGGAGGATGCTGCGCGGCTACCCGGGCTCGCAGGTGCGCCTGTGGCCGCCGCTGAGCTACATCTCCATGTCGGGCTACGCCATGGCGGTGTTTTACGGCGCGCATGTTGTGGTGAACCGGCTCCTGCCGCTGGCGGTGGAGGGCGACAGCTCCAACATCGGGCTCGCGTACGTCGCGCACGGGTTCGCCCGGCACCCGGCGGCGGCGTGGCTCGCGTACGCGGGCATGATCGGCGTCGGCTGCGGACACATGGTCTGGGGCATGGCCCGGTGGCTCGGGGTGGCGCCGTCGACGCGCGGGTGGCTCGGCAAGGAGAGCGTCGCGGTGGACAGGCGGACGAAGCGACAGCGGCGGCGCAAGTGGCTGGGCGTGCACGGCGTCTCCCTCGCGCTGGCGGCCCTGTGGGCGGTCGGCGGGTTGGGCGTCGTGGCGCGCGGCGGGCCAGCTGACGGATGGATCGCAAAGGCGTACGACGAGCTGTTTGCGCGGGTTGGAATGTGACGAGTAACTCGCCTTTGGGGCGGCGTGTGTACGGACTACTAGAGATGGGCGTACTGCCCGTACGAGACGGGGCGGCATTGGGCAGGGCGCAGCTCTCGGGCGTTGATTTGTGACAGGTGTTTTGTTGAGGAGGGGGATGGAGTCTTGGACAGTTTGGCCCATGTACAGTACCTATGCAAGATGCAGCACGGCAGCTCGCTTGGAGAAAGCGATCCATGGATGCCCCGCAAGGGAGGCAGGCCGCGGAGACGGGCCGGAGAGCATGGCGTGGCATGGCATCGGTAGGGACGTACGAGTATGATGTTGGACGGCAGCTGAACCGAGCATGGGCTCATGGCATCTAAGTTACTACTACGTGTGGTTTGGGCATGGCGCGGCACGGTCCGGTAGGGTACAGGTCCGGCACGGCATGGCACGGCATGGCATCATAATCATCACCAACTTCCTCCATCGTCAATCCCTTGCCCGTGCGTTGCTCCGTCCGCGGCGCCAGGCAGCCGATAACTGCCCTTTTAGGCGTCTCTCGGACACGCCTCGCAGTCTCGGAGGGTCGCTTTCTTTGTAAAAGTCAGCCCACAACTTGATGAAAAGTCTCTCCCTGTGCCTGCGGGCCAGGCTCTTGGAGCATTCCTACTGGGCAGGCCGGCGCGCGGCGGCGTCGCGAAGAAGCAATTCGCAGAGCCGGGGCGCTTGAGCGCGGCGGAGCTTGCAGCGCCCCAGGCCCTCCCTCCCTGCCCCTCTGAGCCCCTCTCCCTCCTCAAAAGCAACCTGGAAGCGGAGCCTGCGCCGAGACACGTCGATATGGGGGGTGGGTATGATGCCTTTTCGGCTGCTGGACGGTGGACACTGGATGCGCGACAAGGACTGCAGCATCTCCTCGCGTTTGATAAGGTGTGCCGTGCCGGCGGACAGGCAGGGCTGGCCGAAACGGGGCATGCCGAGATGCCCAAATGGCGAGACGGTTTCCCAGAAGGTGCTTGTGTTTGTTGCATGAGGTGGATGCGCGATGCCGTCTATCCATGCGCGAGGTGCCGACGTCGCAGGTAACTTGGGTGCCCGCCCTTCTGGGACAGACCAGCCAGCCAGACCTGAGCTGCCCCTGCTAGCGCACCTGCTCCAGGTCTCCAGGCCTCGCCCGCCAGCTGACAGCCACCACTGGAACCCCCCACTACGCCACCCGCCGCTGCCCTGAACTGGGCCTCCACTCCGCTCCACGCCCAGACGGGTGGCCTTGGCGGGGGGCGCGCCGGGGCGATCAAGCTCCGGCAGCGGCATCCATGGATCCTGGGAGGTCTCTCCATCACATAATCATGCACGGCGGCATTCATGCCTCCTCCATCCAACATCCAACGCCAGCCTTAACCCCGTGCTTCCCTCCCGCCGCATCCTCGCTTCGCTCACGCCTTCTCGCTCATCCGTCTTCCTCTATCTCTCTGCAACCCTCGCAGCGTTTCCGAAACCCCAAGTCACCGCATCCAAGCTGGCAAACACGCGAGCGCCCAGCCGCTGGGTGCGCGGCGGCCCCGACGCCATGGTCGCCACCAAGCGACGCCGCTCGCCCGACCCAGACGACCCCCGAGGGCGACACGGCGGTGACGGCAACGACGACGATGACAGCGACCAACATCGCGACGCGAAGCGCCGTCGCTCCCGCTCGCCTCTGGTCCCGCCGACAGCCCGAACGAGGCACCACCACCCCCCATCCCAGCGCGACTTCTTCGCCACGCTCTCCGACGAGCTACTGCTGCGCATTCTCTCCTTCATGGACGAGCGGGCGCTCCTCGACGTCTCGCCCGTCTCGCACCGCTTCCACCGCGTCGCCGCCGACTCGCAGCTCTGGCGGCCGCATTACTACCGCCGCTTCATCCTGCCGCGCGCCCACCGCATCCCCGGCTTCCGAACGGCCGCCCGGAGCTCCAGCAAGCTCCATTACGCGGGCCAGAGGTTCCTGTGGGCCGACGGTGGATGGGGCCGTCGCGGGGGCCTCACCGCTCCTGGCGATGTCGACGCCGACGCCGGTGCCAACGACCCGGCCGCCGCCATTGCCGACTCGGTCGACTGGAAGAAGCAATACCGCCTGCGGCACAACTGGGCCCGCGGCCGCTGCGCCGTCGACGAGGTGCCCGTCCACGCCGCCGAGCGCAGCCCCCCGCCCGAGTGGCAGACCCTCGTCAAGGTCGTCGACGGCCTGGCCGTGACTGCCGACGCCGAGTCGGGTCTGCGTGCTTGGGACCTCAAGACGCGCAAGGCCATTGCCCAGCGGCACCTGCGTTCTGCCGACGGCGTGCTGTCTCCGCCGACTTGTCTAGCCGTCGACGATCAGCATCTCGCGCGGGGCACGCTGGACATTTCGGCGGGCTTCGAGGACGGCACCTTTGGCATCTGGCGGTTCGACGCGAAGCGCAGGAAGCTGACGCTCGTGCACCGCCAGGCCAAGGGCTACTTTGGCGAGCTCGTGGCCGTTGCGTACGGACACCCATATGTGTTGACGGCGACGAGGCTGGGCTTCATCACCCTCTACACATTTGACGGTCGTGAGCAAGGCTCGACAGAAAAGCCGGATGACGTCGGAGCACCGCCGCGGCAAGACGAGCCGCCCGCTCCGCGGGGCAAGGGTGCGGACGACGCCCTGCTCCCGCAGCCGCGCCAACTCACATCGCTCAAGTCGCACAGCACGCGCCTCCCGCTCGCCCTGTCGATACGCAGAATGGCCACTTCGGTGGTGGCCTCGATCGCATACACGTTTGATGCCGTCGGCGGCTGGGCCATTGGCGTCCAGGACCTCGACATACGTCCGACCGAGACGTCCCGGCCAGATGTCGTCTCTTCACGCGTGGCGTATACCTTACCCACACAGACGCGCAAGTCGGCAACACCCTCTCCCGAGTCGACGCCCACGCGGACCGCGGCGCGGTCACCCAAGCACGGCCTCGGCTCACGCGACCAAGGCGACGACGACGGCCCCATCCGGCTCTGCTATAGTCACCCCTACCTTCTAGCCACGCTCCCCGACAACACGCTGGTCCTACACCTCTGCACGTCGACGGCCACGTCACTGTCCATCTCGCCAGGCATCCGGCTGTGGGGGCACACCTCAGGCATCTCGGACGCAGAAATCACGCCGCGCGGTAAGGCCGTCAGCGTGAGCACGCGCGGGGACGAGATCCGCGTGTGGGAACTCGAGGGCCGGGTCGGAGGCAGCAGCGTAGAGGTCAAACCCAGGCAGCACGATAACGCATCAGGGAGCATGGCCGGAGGGGACCAGCGGCGGCCGAGCTCCAGGGGCTCCAACACGGGCGAGGACAAGAAGAACTGGGTGGGGTTCGACGACGAGATGGTGGTGGTGCTCAAGGAGGCGCGCGACGGGCGCGAGAGCCTGATGGTGTACGACTTTACCTGAAGCACGCAGGGGCGTGTTTCTTTCAGGGTGGTTGGCAGCAGGCCACTCGAGGCAGACGCAGGACTTTGTGACGCGTCATGGCCTGTGTAGGTGCCTCGGGCATCTGCTTGCGATGGCGAGAGGGGCGCGCCAGGCAGACGAGGTGGCAAGATACCCCGGCCGCGGGACCACGATCCCCACGGCCTGCCGCCTAGTCTGCACATATCATCTTTCTCGACTCGATGACTGCTGCCCGGCCGACAGGCAACCTTGAGCGAACAAGGTCCACTACATTCACGGAACAGGGCTTCCCCCGCCTTGGCCTCGGCGGAGTCGACGCGGATGTGACGCCTTCCAAGACACAGAAGAGGGCCGTCAAGCTGAGGGGCGTCGCATCTTTAGCAGCTGCACCAACGGCTGGGGCCAGACCGACGACACTGCTGCTGCCTGCTGCTGGCCGGCGGCGGAGCAAGAGGGAAGAAGGCCAAGGGGCGTGTGGATAGAGCGAAGATGGCTTTTTGGGAATGACTTGTGCGTGCGTAGCCAGGCAATGCACAGCACTGTAACTTTACTTGGTGTGAGAGAAGCAACAATGACAGGCCTGCAAGGCGGCACGCTGCCCAGGTCATAGATACTTGTATTATACGAATGGCACTCGATGCGACGCTCACTCGCGATTTTCTCCCTCTTTGCAGTGAGTCGTTCTGTGGACTGCTCCAGGTGGTGACATGTTAACGAACCACGCATTCTCTGCATCAACACCTTGCTGAGATGGTCCCCCGACGTAGATTCTCAGCAGTATGCCTCACAAGGACCTCGGCAACGGCATGGGTGAGCTTGGCGCCAAAGCAACTCTTGGGCCGTCGTCTGTCGGCTTCATTGTCTTGGTTTATTGCATGGTTTGGTGAGAGACGAGAGGAGCCGCCACTGCTACGGGTTTGCCTGCGATGCAGCAGCGCTGGCTCCCATTCCATCGTTCCCGGGACGCCAACATGGGGCAAGCCCGAGGGGTCGGCCGGACTGCCGATGCGGCGATGGCCTGCCACGTGAATTGATGACGAGGGTTTGAGAAATGGCCGGCAGAATGAATGGATAAGCAACGATTGCCGACGTAGATGCCGCTTGCGGGCATTGAACATGACAAGGTGCCCCTCGGCGTCGTGCCCCTCGTCGTCAACGCATGCCTCTCTCACACCATCATCATCACCCAGTGCAACCGCGGACGACACGCATCCACCATCATCATGGCCCACGACGATTCCAACCCCCCACCGACACAGGGCGACCCGACGGCCCTCCCGCCGCTGCCGCTCCCCGCGGGCATCACGTCGCGCTTCGTCGACACCCGGCCCTTTGGCCTCCGCTACCACGTCCTCGAAGCCATCCCCGCCGCGTCCTCCTCATCCTCGGCATCAGAGTCAGAGCCGGCCCCGCGCCCGCCCCTCGTGCTCCTCCTCCACGGCTTCCCCAACCTCGCGTACGACTGGCGCTTCGTCATGCCGGGCCTCGCGCGCGCGGGCTACTACGCCGTGGCATTTGACCTGCGCGGCTTTGGGCGCACCCACGACGGCGGCGGCGCTGTTTCGGGCGCTTCAGGCTCTTCCGGCTCGTCTGGCGCTGCGGCCGCGCAGCAGCAGCAGAAGCAGCAGCTGCTGCCGCGCGATGGCTCTTTCTCGGCGGACGGCTTCACGCCCCTCGCCATGGTGCGCGACGTCGTCGCCCTCGTCCACGCCCTCGGCTACCGCTCCGTCCACACCCTCGTCGGCCACGACCTCGGCGCCTTTGCCGCCGCCGTCTGCGCCCTCGCGCGGCGCGACCTCATCCAGTCGCTCGTCCTCATGGCGCATCCCTTCCGCGGCGCCCCCAAGGCCCCCTTTGGCACAGCGGCGTCCGCGTCACTGCCCGCTCCTGACATCCCCCCGACAGACCGCTTCGACACCCTCCGCGACCCGGACGTGCACGCCTCGCTGCAGGCCCTGGACCCGCCGCGACAGCACTACAAGTGGTACAACGGGGCGCCCGGCGCGGCCGCCGAGTGGAGCTACCCGCGGGACGGGCCGCCGCTGCGCGAGTTCCTCCGCGGCTACTTTCATCTCAAGTCGGGTGCGTGCCGGGACGGCGGCGGGGGGAAGCCGCGGCCGCTTGGGGCGTGGACGGCGGAGCGCCTCGCCGTGATGCCGCATTACTACATTATGCGCGCGGGCGTGTCCATGCGGGAGAATGTTGCGCTCGACATGGCGGCGGAGAGGGAGGCGGCCGGCGCTGCCACCACCAACGACGAGGAGGGCAAGGACAGGGACAGGGACAAGGACAAGGCCAAGAACTGGCCACCCGCACCGGAGTGGCTCACGGAGCGCGACCTAGACGTCTACACGGCAGAGTGGTCACGCACGACCTTCACCGACGCGCTGCGCTGGTACGCCTCCCTGACGGGCAACCCGGCCGCAACGGCGGAGCTGCGCGCCCTGGCGTCGGGCAGGATCGCCGTGCCCACACGGTACGTGTCCGGGGCCAAGGACTGGGGCACGTACCAGGACCCAGGGGCGCTGGAGGCCATGGAGGAAGGGGAGAGCGTCGAGCGGGGGTGCTACACGGGGACGGTGCTGCTGGAGGGGGCGGGCCACTGGGTGAACATGGAGAGGCCCGGGGAGTGCGTGCGCGAGATTCTGCACGTCGCGGCCATGGTGTGAGCTGCACGCACGTGTGTGGATGAGGAGGCTTTGTGGTGGTTGAGATGATGATGAGTGTTGGCGTTGAGTATACTGACGGCGATGTGCTGAACAGAGTTGTGTGAACAGGAAACACAGAAGACAAAGGAGTCACTTATACCGTATTTGTCACATGTATCATCCCATACAGCACGCATCAGCCTCGCTAGTAACTCAGCACGACATCTTCAAGAGCTTGTTTCGCCAACATCAGGCAACCGTCTGCCTCAACACTCATCTCGAAGCGACTAAACACATCATGTCCCGTCCTCCACACACTCACCAGCATCCTCCCCACCCTTCACCACAGGCTTCAACCACCATCATGGAACTTCACCAGCCCTCACGAGCATCACATCATCCGTCATCAGCCACGCATCGCCCCTCCCCATGTGCAGCCACAACAACACGCCGCACCTCCTCCACCACCACCCCCCAATGCCTCCTCCTCAACCCATGCCCCATCCCACGCACCACCACCAGCCTCGCCCTCTGCCTCGTCGCCACCGGCCCCGCGCCGCCGTCTCCTTCGCCGCCGCTCATCTCCTCCGCCAGCACCTCCCCGTGCCGCAGCGGCACGTTGCCATCCCCATCGCCGTGCACCACCACCGCGGGACACGCCACGCGCCGCAGCTCCTCCCTTGGCCAGGCCGCCCACGCCGCGCCCGCCTGGTTGAAGAAGCTGCTCACGTTGGCACGCTCCTCGCCGCGCTCATACAGCCTCCCGTTATCCTGACTCTTACTCCCCTTGCGCTGATCCTCGTCCTCCATCTGCTGCTTCGCATCCCTTGCCACCCTCGCCGTGCGATCAAACGCCCATCCCGCGCTCTCCTCCGCTTCCCTCCTCTCCTCATCCGTCAACCGCTCCTCCTCATCCCCCATGCACGCCTCCTCAAACCCCACCAGGAACCGCACCACGGCCTCCCTATCGGTCATCCACTCCTCTCCCTCCGTCGGCCGCGCCACTGCCTCGACGCGCTTCATCGTCGCCTCATCCACCGACGGGATCCCCGTCGCTACATCTCCAGCTGGCCCGACGGGGCTCGACGACACAAGCGTGATGGTGCGCACGCGGTGCGGATGCCGCGCCGCGAGCATCCACGCCGTCGCGCCGCCCATGCTGAAGCCCACGAGGTGTGCCGCCCTCGCTGCGTTTTCGACGCCGGCGCATACGTGGTCCAGCAGCGCGAGCGCGTCGGCAAGCAGGTCGTCGAGGGTGTAGCGCCGGCGGGCTTCGTCGTCGAGGCAGGCGTAGTGCGTGGAGCGGCCCGTGTCGCGCGTGTCGTACCGCACGAATAGGTAGTCCCTCGCTGGCGACGACGAGGAGGACGGGGGGGAGGAGGGATTGGACTGGGACAGCGCAGAGGCGAGCTGCGCGATAAGATCCTCGTGCCATGAGAGCATCGACTGGCCACCGCCGGAGAGGAGCAGCACCGGCGTGCCGGCGTGTGGGCCAAAGGTCTGGTAGCAGATGCGGCCGCCGTGCGGAAGCTTGAGGAACTGCTCGGGACTGGCTTCCATGGTGATGTTGCAGTATGCCTCTTAGCTGTGGGCTTTATTGCAAAGTCAGGGTTGGCCTCGGGTTATAGATGGACGGCAGGAGCGGGAGAAGCAATGGGAATGATTAGCCGCGCGGTGAGACAGCGATGCTGTAAATTGTGTGACTCGTGGAGAGATGGGGCGGTGTGTGCTGTTCGTGGCTTCACGATGCCATACGAGATACGGCGAGGAGATTGTGCGCCCGGTAACGAGGGGAGATACGAGCCAAGTCAGCCTCGCACGACGACCACCCATCTACACAAGTCTCGAATCGAAGGAACAAAACATCACTCTCCCAATGAACCTTGTGCAATTCTGTTCAGTATTTCCTCTCCTGTGTCGTGACCGCCTTCACTCACAAGCTACCCTACACTCAAGATAGCCACAACTCATTCACCGTCTGCAGAGCGCGGGATTCACACTCCTAAACCTCGCAACCAAGACAACCAAACATCCTATTCCAATCTAAATCCCCAGTGCCTCTCCCGCGCACATCCGCACCCCGCTCGCATCATCTTCGCCCATCCCGCCGGTACCTTCACCGCGGCCGAGTTCATCACCGTCGCCGTCACCAGCCACATCACAAGCCTCAGCAGATCATCACCAGCCAACGCCCCTCCTCCCAAGATTAGTTACCGCCCGCCCGCCGCCCCACCCGCACGCACGCCCCCTCGTGGCTCGTGGGCCTCCCGCTTCCCTCCCTCTCCATCCGTAGGGCTGAGGCGGCCCGCCCTGAGGAGGAGCCAGCGGTTTGTCGCAGGAAAAAAATTTCCCTGGCAAGACAAACACCCCTGGCACCCTCAAATGCCCGATCCCGCCGCCAGGCTAGGCGCCCGCAGCGGACGCCAGGCCCATTCGCTCCCGGATTCCCGGTGCGGGAGACCGACACGGCCTGGAGCGACGCGCGACACCCCCCTGGCCCGTGAACCCTGCGCCCGCGGGCCCCGATGGCCTGTCCGGCTCACAGTCGTCGTCTTCACCACTCTCGAGGCCCAATGGCGCTGCACTGTCTTGTGGACAGGCCGACAAATATGACATTGACGTGGCGCCACATCCACGTACCTATCGTTGTAGATGTGGCGCCGCTACCTATCAGTACCCGTCTCGTCCTGTCCAATACGTGTCGAGTGAAAGAGAGAAAGAAAGAGGACCAAGAAATGTGTCAATTGCGCGACCGGAGCGGGTTGTGCCGCTGGCCTCATCCCTGGGTATGTCCATCTCGGGCACCAGTGCCATGCCGCCCAAAAAGAAGATCCTCGACCGCCCGGGCGGAGCCCATCAAGGGTCGTCCGCCCGCGTCTCCTTCCCTTCCAAACGCCAACGCGTTGCCGTCTGTCCTGCTGCTGCTGGCGACCACCGAAATGGCACCCTGCCTTTCCTCCCCCGTCCTTTCCTCGGATCCAATCTTGTCTCCGTGCCAAAAGACCAAGCGACAAACGCCAAGCATGCATAGCCCAAAACCCGTGCCGATTCAATGCAGCAAGTGGTCATGGCGAGACCACGTCAACAAACCGTCGCGACGAGGCGAGGACAAAGGAAAAAGGTGGAGTGGGGTGACGTGATCGCAGTGGGGGTCAGCCGTGTGCGCACTCCGGGTATCGTGCCAGGTCCCTCGTGTCTCTGTGCTGTGTGTATCGAGTTGCCCAATGTGCCGTGCCGTGCCGTTGCCGATGCTATGAGAAAAAAAAAGAGGTGTGCCGAAGCCCAATTATGAAACCGAGTAGTCGTATCCGAAGTCCGGTCGCCGGGCCAGAGGGCCACCGTCGCCGGCGCAGCCGGCATGGAATTGCCCCCAGGCAACATGTGTGCCGTGGCGGTGCAATGAAAAAAAAAAAAGAAAAAGAGGGAAAAATAAGGAGAAAACAAGAGGGTCGTGCAAACTGCCTTGTCGCATGCAAAATGTGTGTCGTGTCGTAACCGTCAAATCATGAGGAGAGAATGTCCGTCCATCTTGTGGCGTGATGCAAGAGGTCACCCTTACAGGAATTGCCGCATGAACCGCGCGTCCAGCCAGCCCACCTTATCAAACGCGGTCCACAGCTTCGATGCCTTGTTCACGTCAATCTTGCACGCCTGCTGGGCGTCTGTCTTGCGGAACTCCTTTCCCATGCGCAGGCACTGCAGCCGCCGCTCAAAAATGCGCCGCTTGCTCGTCAGGTACGTCGCGCAGTCGAGCCGCAGGTTGCCCGCCAGCGTCACCTCGTCTGGGTGAAGCAGCTGCCGGTGCGGGTCGTTGCTGAGGTCGATCGGCTGTCCCTTCCAATCCACCTTGAGGCTGTTGGGCCGATTGGGTAGCGTGTCGAGGGGCGGGCAGTAGTCGGGCAGGGCCTCAAAGTCCTTGTCCTCGCGGTTGGGCGCCACGATCCGGCGCGATGGCTCCGGCGTCGCGCTAACGCGGCCTCCTGCGGGTCTGGCCGTGGCGGATCTCGCAGGCGCCGTGCCTGGCACGTTGTTGCGGATCGGCCGCGGGGCACCACCACCACCCTGGCCGCCGCCCTGTGTCTTGGAAACACGGTCCGTGTTGCGATGCTTGACTGGCTTGGCCACGAGGGGCTTCGCGGGCATGATGGTCGGATACCGCTGCGCACCGGCCCGGCGGTCGGCCTCGAGGAGCGCGCGGTTCTTGCGCAGCCACCCTTTGCGGTCGGCCGTGAAGTGCTTCATGACGTGTGAGCGAAAGGTGAGGGCGAGTTCGTAGTCTTCGCGGCGCGGTGGTGCGACGCCCGCAAAGATGCTCTCTGAGCGGGCGCGAACATGCTGGTCGACGATGCGCTGGGTTTCGAGTTCGGCGGGCGCAAAAAGAGGTGCCTGCGGAGGGCTCGCGGGCGAATGCTCGTCGTGCGGGTAGAGGAGAGGGTCATGCACAGTCGACTGGCTCGAGGGCGGCGAGACGGGCGGTGCGGTTGTCGTCGCAATCGGTTTGCTGTACGGCGACACCGGTGGCGACATGGGCAGCGGCTGATGCGCAGAGGCTGGCTGGGCGGCGCCTTGGCCGTCGTGACTGCCCGAGGCTCTGCGGGCGATGGAAGTGTTTTGGCTGAAGCTGTCGAGGACCGCCTCGGGGGGCGACATGAGGCTGTTGATGTCGAACTTCTTTGTCCTGTCCATTGTGTGCGAGGGCACAGGCGGCGGAGGCATTGCGCCTCGCGACGGCGGGTTGGGACGCGAATTGGAAGCCATTGCGTTCCCAGGCAGGCGTTGATGATGACGGGGAAAGGTTGATGGAGAAAAGGAAAAGGAAAACGGAACAGACGACGATGCGTCAGTAGAAGTAACGGGCGGCTTGTGACTCTTGTCGAAGGCGGTGGAATAGAGTGTTAGTTTGTCAGCCATTGGAAGGTTGTGAGCGGCGCGCAGGCGCTGGCGTGTGTCTGGCGGCGGTGGTGAGAGCCTGGGGCGGTGGTGACACCAGGCCTGCGACCACTAGAAGAGTGACGTGGACCGGGTGGCGAAGGCGCCGCGCCCGTTGGGTGACTGGACGGGATGCCAGTGGATGTGGTCCCCAGTGTAGGTGGGTGCCTCCAGTGAGTGTGATTGCGGTGAGGGGCGCCCGCGACCAAGTCGGCTGCGGTGCAGGCAGGCACCGTAGCCGGTACTCGTCAGGTACCTAGCGCTTGTGTCTTTGGCCTGGGCGTGCACTCGCCGCGCTGCGATGGGCTGGTTCGGAGATGGGATCCGGAGTCCGGAATTAACTTTTGCTGGGCTGAGGTGACCCGGAGTTTGGAGTGTGCCGCGGCGACGATCGAGTCGATTGTCCGAGACGAGCGCGACGAGGGGATAGGCGATGGTGAGAGACGAGGAAACGGTTCGCAGGAAGAAAGACGGCGGTGACGCGATGGGTGTCCCGTGGAAGAGCGGGCGCGGTTTGATTTATGGCTGCCGCAGCTGGCCCACGGCGCTGGCACTGCCCAAGGCGGCGGCTCGGTGGTGAGGTGGTGACGGAGCAGCCCCGTGAGCGCTGAAGGGGAGGGGAGGAAAGGGCGCCGGGGGGGAGGGGGGTGTAAGCGTGAAGGTTGTGTGTGCTCGTGCGAGAGAGAGTCTTGCGAGAGAGAAAGACAATCGGGGTGTGGCACGACGACGCCGCTAGGGAGGGGCGTGCGCCGAGTGACTGTCCGAGCGTGGGCGTGAGCAATCACGACGCGCCCGCTCAACTCAATGGCCTGCGCCGCCTGATGTCGTCAACGGCGATAGGGTGCTGTGCGCAATTGGGCGTACTCATTGGCAAATTGGACTCTCATGCATGCCATGCAATGCGATTGCGAAACGCCGCACGCAACGGGGAGGGAATCTCTGCCCTTTTGTGGTTCTGCCGGGCCAGATGGCGGACCACCGTCAGGCCACGACGACTGGGTGTGTCGATGACTCTGACCAGACACGCAGGCAGACAGACGACGAAAGTCCTTTGCCTTGCGATTGCGACTGGGCCTGAGGAGCCACTCTGGGACGTGGCTAGGCAGACAATGGGGCCTTGTCGTTGATACCCGACCGGATGGGGGAGCGCCAGGCTGGGAAGAACGGGAGCGCCTCTTCAATTGCGGTGCCTTGGGAGGCGACGTTGGGGCCAATGCGCGCACGCCCCCTCGCGCGAATCCCAGGACAGGCGGGCTGGGCCTCGGTGATTGGGCCTCGTTGCGGTTTGCTGCTGGAGGAGCTGAGCGAGCAGCGCCCCAGGTCGCTCAGATTCACGATGCGGACGACAGAGCGCCGGAACGGGCTGGGGCGGTGGCCTGCCTTGTCTGCCTCCGGGGCTGTCTGATTGCTTGCTCGCCTGCCTAGTCTGGGCCGATGCCGCGCGCGCGTGTGCTGATGTCGATGCCAATGCTGATGCTGGCGGGCGACGAAATGCGTTCTGCCGGGGTACAAAACACGCTTCGTGGCGCGGTGCAGGCAGCCGGTGACCGTGGGCGGAGCGGATGGCCGACGATGGAGGATGACAATGGGGGGCGCTGACGGGCGTTTGCATCAGGCAACAAATATCGCGCCGCGCGTTCCAGAGTCCGGCATCCACCGGTATCGAGGCTCCGTTGCTGGCAACGACAGAACTGCAACGGCAGAAACGGAACGAGCAGAGACAGACGGGCAGCGAGGCACAAGCCGGACAAGGGACTGACACCAATGCCAAATAGAGAAGCGGCAATGGCTTGGAGATGGACCTGGACGGCGGACGAACAGCAGTGCCGTCGCACAGTGACTGGCAGCACCAGGGCACCACCGCCAACGCAGAACTGGATGGACGGACGAGGGCGCGACACAATGGCCCGGCGGGTACGCTCGTCTTGCTAGCCACCTAGGCAAGTTCGCGAGTGCGAGCCTGAGGTGGATGTGAGCCTGAAGGGTGACCGAGGACGAAGGGGCGACGGCGAGGAGGAGCAGGCAGGCGTGTCGTGGAAATGGGCTTGGAGGGGCAGCGCATACCTAGGGGTGTCCGCAGTCGCCCCAGCAGAGTGACGACCTGGAGTTCGACCGCCAGCGATGCGGGTGCCCCAGCGCGAGACGGCGGCGGGCGGCGTTTCCACTGTCGACTGCTGATTCCACACAGCGACCCCTCCCGTTGTCGCCAACGCCGTGGTCGACTGCGCGACTTGATACTGTCATGCTCTATAAGCCGCAATCTTTAGGGCCCGCTGTGTTCCACCGGGGCAGCCTGACTGCGCACTGGAAGCTTCCACGTTGTACTCGTAGCATGTCTGCGGCTCCCCCAAGCACTGTACGGTTTTGTCACCGCTCATTTGCGTGCTGGCTAGCTCGCTCCGTCCGCCCAATTCGGCCCCTCTCGCTGCCCTTTCACATCACCCCGCCGCACGACAAAGAATCACAGGCACGCTCTGCAAGGAAGCAGCAATGCCCTCGCCAGACGTCCAACAGTAGATGCAGCGACGCTCCTGGACGCGCTTTGATTTCAGGAGCAATTGGCTATGCGACGCCATCCGGTCCCGGTCCTGGGACGCAGGGCTGGCGCTTCTCGTCCACGTCGTGTGCCCCGTTGGTGATGCGGTCGTCCAGGGAAGAGGCGCCGAGGGGAGCCCTGACGAAGGCCCCTTGGCCCTGGGAGACAACCTGGAAGCCAGCGACGGACCAGGCAGCTACTAGTGCCACCCCCTCCTTCCGCCAGTCAGGTGCCGCCGTCACTCCAGGTCATCAGGCACACCAGACGCCATGCCGCGCCATGATTGGGCCCCTGCCCCAGCCAAAGATAGCACCACCTGCCGCCACAACACTGGACGAGTTGGTGGTTGCAGCCATGTGGAAGGTTGACGTGCGGTGCGCGCCTGCCTGCCTCACGCTTTGTGCCCGCCATTCGCATTCTCTCTCAGTTTTGCACTTTCCATGAATGTGATGGGGATGCGCTTGCTCCTTCTCTGCAGGACTGCGGTTCTTGCCGCGACCTCGTCCGCACAGCAAGCAGGTGCTGCCCTGCCCTGCAACTGTCATCGCTTGCGCATCGTTGCACGACTTGGGTGGCTTGGGCGAGGCAACAGCGGTCCAGTCCAGCACAACGCAGCAACAGCAGAGCAGCGCAGCTCCCATAAAAGCAGGGCACATGGAACACAGTGCAACACAGCTCGGCGCATCAAGAACAGGCTTGGCCCTTAGCCAACACCCATGACGGGCGCCAGCCCTGGATCTCCGGTGCCGATGCCAAGCGAGGCACGCATCTCGACCCCCTTCCTTCCGCCGCCCTTCCCCTCCAGCTCCTCGGCTTGTCCCAACAAAGACACGGCAGCGACACATTGAACGCCGGCCTGGGACGTCGAAGGCGGCTGGCTGGTAGAATTGAAAAAAGGGGGGCCGCACGAGAGGACACCAAAGTCGGCGGCGAGAACCCACGATGCGGTCTTTCATGCCTACGCAGCATCGCGAGCAACGCCAATGTGTTACGGTACTCGTCCGGTACAGAGCGCCCACCGTGGCGACGGGAAGTGGTAACAACGGCAAGGATGGGTGGAGGGTACCTGGCATAAGTCGGTCGTTCTCCCGCGCTGCCCGCCCAGTCAAGAGCCACCAGCCCTCCGTCGCGCCCTTGAGTGGCCCCGAGCGCATCCGTTGGCATGGGCCGAGTGGGTGTGGATGGTGTGCAGGCGGGGAGCGAGAGAGGGGACCACCGTGACGCCGCGCCCGCCGCAGACAGACAGGATGGAGGTTGCACGACGGCCGCCGCCGTGAGCCAACCCCGCCTCACTCTGGAGCCAGCCAGCAATCCCGCTGGAGTTGTCCGCTTCCCGCTCCGGGCGCGCGTCACCGGCGTGCTGCCTGCGACCTGCTGGCAGAGCAGCTCGCTACCTGAGGTGTCTGTCTGTGTGCCAGAACAGACGCTTCGCCCGCGATCATTGCTCCGAGCAAGGCGGCCCCGAGTTGCTGCTCCTCCATCGCCAACGCGCTCGGCCGTGGCCCATGGACGCGACACGAACGCCGTGGGTGTGAGGGCCGAAGGGAGGGGCAACGGCCTCAACTTCCTTGCATTCTTCCTTCTCTGGCCCCTTTGTCGATGCCCAACACGACCGAGGGGGGCCACAACGTGTCCCATGGCGGAGGGGCGGAGGGACACCTGCGGACAGTAGACGATGATGACGGAGCAACCCCGTTTCTTGACATGCGCCGCGGCGGCTCTCTCTCGGGGACTGGGCAAGCCTATTCGCTATTACGCTCGTAGTCCTGTCCACTTGGGATCCATTGTCGGCGGGCCAAGTTGGAATTGACTTGAAGGCTACTGCAGTCGCGGGTTCTGAACTTCTGATGCACCGGACAACGGTCGACCCAACACCAGGCTCCTCCCCGTCTGCGAAGTGTGCCGGCCCCCATCCTCGGCGCGGCCCAGCAAGCAGCCCGCCACAGCGCAGCTGCAGGCGCAAGCGGAAACGTCCATTGCCCTCTGCCCCGGGGAATGGGAAGAGGCCTCCTCTCGGGAGCGCTCGCGAGGCAGCTGAGCACTCAATTGACGATGGCGGCGCGCGGCGATTGGCCAATTCTCGAAAGTCGTTCAGACGGAGGCGCTGCCGCGTGACCCCTCCAAGATGGAGGGGTCGGCGGGATGTCATCCAGGGATCCGCACCGCACATAATTGAAGAGTACAGACAAGTCCTGGGTGCACAGTACACGCCGCTGGGCCTTCCAGCGGGGCGCGTATCAAACTTACACGCAGAGCTTACGGCGCAAAGAGCCATGCGTTCCCGTCGCCACGCACGCCGTGGGCCGACCGCCACCCTCGTCGAGACACGACGGGGCGACGACGACGACGAGGCCCGGCGGAGCGCAGAACGCAATCCTTTTCGACTCGACTCGACTCGACTCGACCCGACCCAGGCGCCAAACCAGACGACGTCCCTCTCTGTGACTGGCGCACGGCGGCGATTGGAGAGGGTCGCTCGACGCAAAACAGTCACAGATGCATGAGGTGAGTCACAAGATGGAACCCCGGCCACTGGCCAGCCGAAACAGCAGGTGGCACGATGCCGGGTCGGGATTAGCGCATCGCAAGGGGTGGCGCAGCAGCCGAGAGCGATCCATGATGCAGTGGAGGGGGAGGGGCCACGAGTACCTATCGATAAGAGGCCCCCAAACTGCCGTGCGCTGCGCTGGACACAGTGGGCAGCGGAGAGTGGACAGTGCCCTGCGCGGACGCTGGCGTCCGTCCGGGCGCCGCTGGTCGCTGCGACTTGCCCAGGTTGGCGGGTTGGGGGGCCCCCCCTGCCGTGCCGTGCCATGGGCTGTCGGTCGTGCCCTTGCGCTTGCACCCGCCCGCTCGGGGCTGTTAGGTACCTCATGCCTCCATTCAATGGACGTGTCTCCCTCCCTCCGTGCGAGCGCCAGCCATGCGCGCCGTGCTGGGCCGGCCGCATTTGGGGGCACATTGGAGCGCAATCGCCTGCAAACCCGTGTCGCGTAACTGCCTGGATGCGGCCGGAGGCACAGCGGCGACGAATTGCCCCCGTTTGCGTGCGCATTGCGCGTTCGCACGCCGCCGCGGCGAGGCCATGGACAACGTCATCCGCGAGGGTAGCCTGTGGCAGCGGCTCAGAGAGGGGCAAAGGACCCGGGCTGGTGGTCACGGCGGCCACGCAGCTGGGGGGTGCTGTGGCTGCGGCTGCTGGACGCACAAAGCGGCGCGGGGCCTGGGAGACCTGAGGTGGAGGGGGGGTGGGCGTTCATCCAGACGGGAGCCCAAAAGAGGCCGACGTGGTCTGGTGTCTCGCCCCAGCGGCCTGCTCTGGGCTTCAGTGGGCGCCCGCTGGTGCGAACTGCCTGAACTCAGCCCTGGAGGTCGCTGGCGCCGCGAGTTGCAGCGCGAGGGGTATGTCTAGCAGCACCGAGCAGAGGTCCATTCCTTGTACAGTATCACACTCGTGCCAATGGCCTGCATGACCGTGGCTCCCCGGGCATCCCCTTTGGAAAAGTTGCCTTTCCTGGCGGCCCGCCTGGATTTGATTTCCAATGGATGACTGCGAAGTGTGAACTGTGACGGCGCTTGCGTCTCCTCCTCCTCTTCCTGCTCCTCGCTCGCGCACCCCGTCCGTCCCGGCCCTCGGATTCGGAATTGGTCGTCGCGCGCGGAGTTTACGGGGAAACGCGCCTCGAGTCGTCCGAAGGTCCTCGCTTTCTCGCTCTTCTCACTGAGGTGTCCCTCGCCCTCGCCCGCTCCCGCGCGAGCCGAGCGCCCGCTTAGAAACGCATCTGACGCAGGGCGCGGCGCGGCGCGTGCAATGCCAGCCAGCATGCATATGGTCGCCTCCGCAGATGTTCCACGGCCCGTGGGGTACTTCAGTTCAGTTCCTCCGTCCCGAGGGGACCGGACCGGGCGGGATGCCGACGCAGGTGCGTTCGTTCGTTCGTAGGCGTGTATGTGCGCAGGTATGGACATCGATCCACGAACGCCGTGACGCACGTTGCTGGTGCGCGAGGGGCCATGCCATACCCCGTGCTGTGCGTCTTTGCCATGCCATGCCTTGCCTTGCCTAGCCGTGGATCGGATCCACCGTCTGTTCTGTGCGTTCCCACGTTCGTGCATATTCTTCCGCCGGGCCGGCGTCACGGCTGAGGCCTTTTTTACGCTCGCAAAGACGATAAGAGTCGCAGCTTGTGCAAGAACGACGACCCCGCGTCTGGCGCAGCACGTTGTCGCAAAGCCGGTGCTGTGCAACTCCGGGACCGCCCGGCCAGCACCACCACATGGAATGGAAGGGCTCCGACGACCAGCGTGACTGCGTCGGATGATGAACCGTGGGGGTAGCCCTACGTTCCAAGTCGTTCCGTCGACCTGTGAAAACCGCTCTTCGCGTGTGCGTGGGATAGAGGATGGGATGGTGGAGGGGATCGCTGCGGCCGTGGTCACTTGACTGCGCGCAAGCATGATGCCCGCGTGGGCGTGCTCCCGCGCGTGCAACCACGAGGTGAGACACCACAGCGTCATTGTCGATGGGCTCGTGAGCCTCCCCTACCTCTCTACCTCTCCGCTTCTCGGTTTGCCTGTTTCTCACCATTTCACCCGGTGTCGTCCTAGGTTCGACGCACGCCAAACTTGCTGGTGGTGGGTGGTGGTGGTGGTGGTGGTGGTGCTAGTAGTGTGTGTTGCGAAGCCCGGGAGAATACGGCGGGCGGGCGTGCGGCGGCAGCGGCGCAATGCTACTACATATGCCGGTATGTTGCGCATGAACCGCTCCCCGCGTCTCGTCCTGCCTACTGCTACGGTTTCCCAACCGGGCGGAAGAAGGGGCCCGGGATGATTGGGGACAAGCGGAAGACTGTGCACGATGCCTCACTTTCCGTTCGTGATGCTGTACTTTGCCCGCACTGAGTTGATGGCACCGTCGGGCAAGCCGAGCCGCACGCCGTGAAGTCTGTCCATGTTTGTCAGGTACGTCTGCAGGTAGTATTGCTGGAACCGCCGCTGCCGTAGCCGCCCACTCCATGCCGACCGCTCCGTGCGGTTGTCGAATGTACGCCACTTACAGGACGTCGATGCGACCCCGTGGGGTCGAGCTTCCACCGCCGCGGATTGCATTGCCTCTGCAAGGGTGCCAAGATGTGCGTTGTGTAGCATGTATGGAATTTGTCATGGGAATGCTCACGTCAGTCTCTGTCAGAGATGCCCGCACCTGTCCATCTCATCCCGGAGCGGCCAGCTGGAGGCGGTGGGGCGGTGGCCGGCGGCTCCGGGGCCGGACACGGCCGCGGACACGGAGGTACGGGGCTGCCGGCCCGGTGTGCCAGCGAGGATTGACGACTCCCGGTGGCACGTAATGCAACGAGACTAGAGCTTAGGAGCGTGAGGATGTCAATTGCGTGGTACGGTATCGCAGACTGACTGTAGAATGGATGAGATCGGCCTGCTGCTGAACGACCTGCGGATTGCTGCATTCGGTGGCTCATGGACAGAGCTCGCTCGCGAAAAGAGACTCACCTCTGCGGCATGGTAGCTGACTGCCACGGAGACAAGCGATGCCCCTCTCAACTTCAATATGGACCCTCTGCGAAGCTCTATAAATCTAGGATTACTTTATACGTACAGCAACACGACCCAGCTGCAGTGTTCACGTCACCGTTGTGGGCTGGAATTTCCACGCCCGCCTCCCCGTGGACAATCGCCCCCGAGGATGTCCAGCAACCTCCCCAACATCGAGTATGCTGCAAAGTTGCAGATTGACCGTTCCATATCTTGCGCCCAGAGTTCTCGACACCAGTATAGCCCATGGAGAACGGTCCTGCTTGCAAAGCGGGTCTTCGGCCCGTGTACTGTCTTGGAGGGCTCGCCACGTCGGGCCAGCGATGAGGAAACGTTTGCATTGCGTGTCCATTCGCTCCCAATCACAAGAGATGCAAAAAGAAAGTCCTCTTTGAACAGCTCCGCGACAACTCGTCCGCCAGCGTCACTGAGCACAGGATCTTCCAACATAGATCTCTGCTGTACCAAGATGGAGATGGCACACTCCGTCGTTGCTAGTCGTGAGAAATTCGAAGTCGCTGAGGTTTGCAGGAGCGATCTTTGGGTGATCCGCGGAGAGTCCAAATGGTAGATGGTGATGAGCAACCGGCGAAAGAAGACGATGAGCATGCAGCGCTGTAGGCGCTTCCACGTGCAATCGACCTCGAAATAGATCTTGTCCGTCTTCCGCAATAAAGTTCTGACGAGAGCATCCGCGGAGATGAGATCCACGCCTTCGGGGCATGTAGCCGTTGGATGATTTGCCAGCGAGACAAGAGTAAAGGCCAATGACAGTGATCTCGAAAGGAGGAGCTCTGCCGACGAATCGGTCCATTCTTTGGCGCTGTGATTTCTCTCGTTCGGTGCCAATGTTGCGTCAACGTCGCAGTCGTTGACGTTTGCCAACATGCATGGTTCCATTGCTGAAGATGGAAAGTGTGTTGCGACACCAGTATGTAGTACGTGGTGGAGATACATATATCGTACCGTTGTCCAAACACGAGTCTCCATAAAGACGCCTATCCACGTTCGTCGAGCGGACGTTCCATCATTCATCCTCTTATCTAAGCCAAGCATGAGGCACATCGACAGAGCGGTTTCCAGTAAGGGGCCACATGCGTCCCGCTCGTGGCACGAAAAGAGGCTAGCTTTCTTTGCCGTCGCCATGAGACACAGCGTTCTTACCGTCTCTAAGCTGGCGTGAAAAGGGTACGACAGATGAGCAAGACATTTGCTAGCTCCTCGCAAGTAACGTTCTACAGGATAAGGTAGAGTGGCGGCTACGAGCCGTTGGCGTATCCTCTCCTCCATGACTCGAGTGCCCAGAGCGAGTACTGCCAGGAGCTGAGCGAGCCAGTCGTATCTTGCAGAAGTCGGATTTTCCCAGTAGTGTTTCAGCTCAAGTTCAAAAGTCGGAATATGAAAGAGGCGGTTGACTCCCTCGATTGTGTCTAAATACGTCCCAACGAGCGCTTTGGTGATGTCCTTGGACGGAACGTATTTGTCGATGATTTGCGATTTGAACAACGGAGGGTCGTTCATATGGATCTCAAATGGAAAACTGGGTATTCGCACTGAGCTGATGCTTTTATGGTATGGACTCTTTGACCCAAAAGCTGTATGTGATGCTGGATCAATGAGTAGGCTAGGGAAAGTCACTGCGCACTATGTATCGACGTCAAGAATTAGTCCGTATGTCAACTACGGCGAGACTTGGGACCGAGAGCTGGTACCTGGTGTAGAATA